CACAGGATCTTAGCTCGGTCATTCTCCCCCACCTTTGGGGGTGTCCCCCATTTTGACCGCGGGGCTATATATATATATATATATATATATATATATATCAGAGAAACCTGATCAAGCCATATGAAATTAGAAACTCAGCTTTTATTTACACCTTTTATGCAAATAAATGAAGAACAAAATCAATCAGTAAAATCAGCCAAATATAAATATCCAAAATATGTTACAAATCCTTAAAGATAAAAATACAACCCTTAATGCTGAACATTCTATCTTATGTTCATGACAAATATACTTCCATATTGGGCTATAATTCCAGTTTTAGTGTAAGTGCCTCACAATTTGTAACAAAATATAATGAAAGCTTGATGAGTTAAACTTCATAGAAACATTTTAATGTCTTGTGTCAATCAGCCAAAGAGTAAATAAAGACGTCTGAACGGTTCTAATATCTGAGCAGACGACAGTTTAAGAGCTTTAAGATCAGCTGCAGTTTGAACTATTTATAAACTATCCTGAGATGATTAATCCAGATCAACATAAAGAAAATAATTACAAGTCTATGTGAGACACAATAAAAGCATGAAAAACAAATTCCATAAAAAGAGAGATAAGGCTTAGCTTTAGCAAAAGGTCAAAGTTCAGAAAAGGTGGAGGTAATGACATCATTGTCTTGAGCTTATGCTTCATACAAAAAGGTTCCAGTGGCAACATGTACAAAATAAACAACTATGGTCCCAACATGGAGCTCAAATATTAATAAGAGGAAAGAGGAATAATCCTCTAAAGTCACAGAGAAGCTTAAAGACATTTTAATGATTATTTATTTTACAATGTCTTCAGTCCTGAAAGCCACATTTTGTGTCATTTAAATAGAGTGACGAGAGAATTTTTATTCTTGACCATTTAAATTTGTATCGTAAGATCATATTTGATAAATTAGAAGTGAAACACATAATATACTGTAGATTAATTACCCATACTGATGTTTCCCGTCCTTTATTTCTGTTATATGATAACTTTCTGTACAGATAATGATAAAAATTACACTTTTTTTCAGAAAGTTTTTCAGAAAGTACTTTCATTCTGACAGGTATCATCAAAACACATTATTTATTAAATGTGAGTGTACCCTATATAGACTTCTTCTGATTTTTTTTTTTTGGACTAATCAGAACTTGTAAAATACCTTTTAATACAAATCAAAAAAGACCATGATTAATCTGAGGTGGTGAACTTCATCATCTTTATGTTTTATAAATATAATATTTTTTAAATAATTCTCTTATTTTGCTCCCAAAATGAAATTATTAGTTTTTTTAATTTCAGCAAGTCGATATGTGGCTCACATATTAATAGTAAGTCAGTCATGAAGTGGAGGAATGCTTTCTCTCTGCTTTTGCATGTGATCTAGTTCAATCTCTTTTTCCATTCTATTGCTTATAATTTGGTTCTTTTGTTCTTATTGTTCTATTTTTTGTGAACCTCGTTTACTGCGACTATTTTTTTTTCTTGTCTTTTAAAAATCTAACAATTTGATCCGCTGCCTTGTCATTTTGTGAACATTTTAGTAATCCCGGCACAGATTCATGGAACAGAACATGAACATCCAAGTCAACATTCTCGATTGTTTCAGACCACTTTGTCCCAGCAGTGGAGTAATCAGGATCTCTGGTGTGATGCATCAAAACCAGGATGATACCTTTTTCATCTGTTGAAACAAAAAAAGAGATGCTCAAAGTTTGACCTCCATATCATTAGAGCAGATTTTTCTATTTCAAAATTTTCCTTAATTTATCAATCTCAAAAATCTGAAAATTCAGTATTGAGAACACTGTTCACACTTTAGCTTGATATTTACAATGCAAGTTATGAAAACATCCAAGATTTGATTGCACTTGATCAAACCGGTTCTACAAGATCAACTTGAAATTTGGTGAGTTTTCTCACAAGTCATGGGGGATCTAAAGTTATTAATGTTTCTCATCTTCTGACTTTTTATTATATGTTGAAGCAGCATAAAATATGACTTCTCTCAGACAAAAATGAAATTATCATATGCCCTGCAAAGTGACATAAAACTTCTGTGTAGGGGTGCACCGATTGGAGTTTTCTGGCCGATTACCGATCTTTTAAAAAGCTCAACCTGCCGATTCCAATTTTGGTCGATACCAATTTTATTTGTCTGAAATGTAGCTCAATATAGCAAGAAAGCTGTTGAGTTGGCAACACTGGGATCACTATTGTTAATTATAACAGACATATCTCAGTGGGTCGGTCTGTCAGTCAAACCTTTCTCACCAGAGAACAAAAGAGGAAAGTAGTTGATTCTTAGACCTTTTCCAAGCTAGATAAGATCAGTGGATAAGATTGGCTTCATATTTAAAAATCGGCCGATCACCGATCTCCCAAAATAAAGGAAATCAGCACTGATAAATCGGCTGGCCGATAAATCGGTGCATCACTACTTCTGTAATAGCTTATTTGGTTCTAACACAACTCAGTGGTCAAAAACTGACATCACCTAAGCTCAAGACCTACAGAAAAGTATTTTTGAGCCCAAGAAAATAAAAATATGATGTACTGCAACTTAGTGTAGATATATGACAACAAAGTTTGGTAAGATATTCTTGATTATGTTTTGTTACAAAAAAATGTAATAAATACTTTTCACTTGGTCCAAAGCTGCTTCCACATCTGAGCCAACACGGGACGTGATGGGACAATAAACAATGGGGTCTTTATGTATCTTGCTGATATTTCCCTGGAGCTTCTTCTTAACTAGTTTCTTAAAGGCTTTATGTGCTCCAAAGGTTTCACCTGTAGTGACATACTAAATACACAGTTAAACAACAAAGGGACAATTAGCATATAAAATAATGCCGACAATGGGATTTCAACAAGACATGATTGTAGGAAAAAGAACAATGTCGTGTCTCTGCTTGTTTTACATCTGTTACCTCAAGTTCCTATTTCTTACATTTCATCAGCTTCATCATAGGTGCATTTTGTTGCTCTTACCTTTTCTGAAAAATAAGACCGCATGAAAAGTGAATAATTACATAGAATTATTCAGTGTCAGTTTGGTATTAATATGAGCAGAGATGATCACTCACTAGTTGTCTTTTTCCACATCTCGTGGATCCCTAGCACAAATAGATACACATTAACATTGATAGTTTCATCCATCCACTGTAGTAGAAGTGCAGTGGCTGGGAAAAGTATTCATATCCCTTGAACATTTCCATATTTTGTTACATTACAAACACAAACATAAATATATTTGTTTGTTCATAAACATATTTAATTGGAATTTAATGTGGAGGTCAAAGAGGTATACAATTGTGCAGTAGAAAGAAAATTATACATGATTCAACATTTTTTTTTTTTTTTTTACAAATGAAGAACTAAAAAGTGAATTGCACAAAAGTATTCGGCCCCCCTGAGTAAATACTTTGTGGAACCACGTTTTGCTGAAGTTACAGCTGCTGGTCTTTTAGGGTTTATCAAGTTTTACTCCTTCTTTGTAAAGCAGACCAGGCTCAGATTAGAGGGAGAATGTTTGAACAGCAGTTTTCGCATCTTGTCAGATTATTGATTGAGTTTAGGTCTGGACTTTGACTAGGCCATTCTAGAATATGTTTAGTTTTAACCATGTCATTGTACCCGTGGCTTTATGCTTAGGGTGGTGGTCTTGCTGGAAGGTGAACCTCCACCCCAGTCACCATGGGATCTCTGACCAGAGCTCTCCTTGTCCATCCTGTAAGTTTAGCTGGATGGATTTGTCTCACAGGTTTACAGTTGTGTCATACTCTTTCCATTTTTGGAACATGAATTGAACAGTGAGATGTTCAGACCTTGGGAACTATTTCTCTAACCTCAGCCTATTTTAAACTTTTCCACAGCTTTCTCCCTAACCTGTGTGCTGTGTTCCTTGAACTTCATGATGCTGTTTGCTTCCTAACATTCCCTGAGCCTCTGAGGTCTTACAGGGCAGCTGGATTTGTACTGAGATTAGATTACACACAGGCAGACAATATTTAGTCATTAGTAGTCATCAGGCAACTTTTGAAAGCAAGTGGTCACACACAGAGATAAGGGAGATGAATATGTTTGCACACTAAATTTTCAATTTTTTATTTTGAAAAAAATGATTTGAATCATGTAATTTTCTTGCAACTTCTCAAATGTGTACCATTTTGAGTTGGATCTTCACATTAAATTCCAATTAAGTATATTTATGTTTCTGGTTGTAATGTAACAAAATATGGGAATGTTCAAGGGTGTGAAAACTTTTTAAGCCACTATGTAACGAGTCTTTTTTCCAAATAATTTCAATTAACAAAAGTAATATTTAGATATTTATATTTGGTGATAAAGATTTACAGATTTACTTAATAGATGCATATCAAGTTTCAAAATTTACACATGCGTAAATATAAATTTCAGGATATTTTAATCTATTGAATTGCAGCACGTTTGGCTTTCCATACCTGCAGCGGTCCAAATTGTTGGTATAGGATGATTTGGAACTTATTTTGTGAGATTTTTCGATTGGAGCCCCAAATGCTATGGACCGAACCTTTCTTTGCTTTCTTCAGAGTCAGTGTCTGAAGAAAAAAAAAATAAGCAGCGACTTAATTTTGTTCACCTCCAACCCAGATTGGTGAGCCGTGGGCAGAACACGCTGGTAGAAATGTTAGGTTAAAGTGGAGCGGAGGACGAACCGAAGGGCGACAGTCTTGGTACCGTTTCTTTATAGTGATAGAAGGTTCCTGACCAGGAGCAGAGGGACAGACTGAGGCTTCGTATGTTCTCCCCCTATCTGTAGCACACCGAGCATTTAAAGCTCTAGGACAGCCTGATAACGTCAAAGTCAGAAATTGTTTCTGTTGCCAAACAATGTGTCTATTTAGGGAAGAGGCTGAGAGTTGTTCTGAAACCACTATTGAAAGGACAATTAAGAAAAATTAAAAGGGTTTTATGTGATCAGGCCTACATTTTTCCTTCTCCAAAGGCATAAATTAAAAAAAAAAAACAAACAAACAAAAAAAAAACCTCTCTTAGTTACAATGTAGATGGTGGCATCCACAGTTTAACCTTTCAGATTAGTAATATTCAAGGAAATTAATATAAGTAATATTATATTACTTATAAGTAATATATTATTTATAATATAAGGCTTCATTCCCTTCATTACCTCATTCATATAAGGGAATTAATTCCTTTACTCTTCACATTTTTACATGAATAAAGAGCTTTTTATTCACGTAGAGTGCTTTATTCTCTTTTATGTGAGGGATAAAAAAGACTTTATTTCTCACAAAAAGCCTACACAGCCCACAAAGACAGTGAAAAATGACTCCTACCTGTACTGTCGGTGCTGCAGCAGCTGCGACAAAGACTGAAAGCAGAGAACGCCTTTACTTTCACTTTAGGACAGAACAGCCGCTCCGGATGAGTTTAACAAGGTTTTGGGAGGCAAAATTAATCCACGTAGCAATAATACTATTACTCAAGTAAAATAAAAAGGTGCAGTGCAGTAAAACTACTCTTATAAGTACTTTTTCCCCAAAAGAGTTCCTCGACGTAATGTAACAACTACCCACTTTTGAACATAGACAACATCAGTAATCTAGAGGCTATTGTTAACCAGCTTAAGGTGGTGTACCGATATTAGCTAGTCATCTTTTAGCTAACATTACCTGCATCCAAAAGCTTTACTCAACTCAGTCGGTTAGTTCCAAGTACATCTCGCCGCAGCAAACAGAAAGGGGCGGGGACGGATACATGCCTTATTTGGAAACGGGAAGGGTGCGCCATTTCCTGGTCTCACGTTTTTATTTTCTTTTGAAATATGGGATATATCCTCAACTTTAGGGAGGAGTTTCATTCTCAGCATGTATTTCAATTTCTCTCTTTTATTTATTTCAGCGCATCTCACCGTTTTTTTTTTTTACCAAATTCTGTAGCTTTCGGTTTACTTCTAAATCTGCTCCTTAGTCGCATCTTTTCGGGCTTGCTACTGCCTCTAGTGGCGTGGGGGTGGTAACACATTACTAAATCAGAATAGCAGAAAGACTTTATTATTTATCATTAATTCTGGCATTAATGTAACCATAAAATACAAATTCCCTCAAAAAACACCATACCTTTTCATTTTCTTAAGGAAGTGAGACTAATTAGATGAGATAAACAAGACCTGAAAGCAATTCCAGTTTCTCTCAATGGCCAACCTGTTGAAACTGTGGCTAATTTTAAATACCTCAGGTCCTTCCTGGATAGTCAGCTCAAATTTGCTGAAAACACTGGCTATATTTTTAAGAACTGCTCTCTGTGACCAAACCACATGATTTACAAAAAGCGAGCTTATCCTATGACTACGTAAAGAGATTCCTGCATGATAATAGACTGTTACAGTCCATAGGGGTCCCTCCAAGATATCATTGGAGGAAAAGCACAAATCATTCACTGCACCTGACCCACACCAGCACAACTCCATCCTCAATAGGCATCAATTGCCCAATGCACAAAACCAGCACAAACCTGGTGTTGGAGTTCATTCAATTTTCCACTACCACCCAGGTTCATATATATGTAGTTTGTCACTGTGGTTTCCCAGTTCTAAGGTGTTTTTTCCACTCTTTATGAGTAAGAGCAGACTTCTGGGGTGTTGTCTTGTACTCTCCTTATCCTTCTTTTTCTGTTGTCTTTCTATGTTCTTTTACCCCAGGAGAGGGCGTTAAAGAGCAATGCTACACTCTAAAATGTGATTTTGGCTGCAGTTCAGGTTATTGACTTATTTACATTAATCTCACTTAATTGTTTTGGTTTAGTGATGACATCTTACTTTTTGTGCTGAATTAATTTAAAAGTTACACATTATTAACTTAGTGGAACTTCTTACTTTGAATTTACTTGAAATAATTAAGTTCAATGTTGTGTTCCTATCTGACATTATGATTGAAGCTTCACCAGGCACAGATCCTGTACCACATAAAGAGCCCTCAGTCCTACATGGTTCCTGTCATGATGATCTTTGCTGCATGTCTTCCCCCTCTGTCATGACCTACTCTCAAATAGAGGCTGCCTGAGCCAAGAAATCCTTTAAAATAAGATCATTTATTATTTTACTTCTATATTTGAAGTAAACAAAATGATTTGAGTAGGACTGACTTAAAGTTAAATCCACTCAATAAATAAATCAAGTTTGAAAAACTTAATTAAGTTACTTGTTACCAACTGAAGAAATTCAAATAAGTTGGTTCAACTATATTTTTCAGTGTAATAAGTGAATGAACTTTAGTCCTTTTATTCTAAACTAAAGCACAAATATAGTACAGCTTTGTTGTCAATGTTTTAGTCATAAATCCTGGATGAAGAAAAAAGTACTTTAAAAGAAACTTCAACTAAGAGTAACAGTTGATTTTTACACAACAGCTCTGCCTGTTTCAAAGAGCAGAGCAATCCTTTGTGTTTTCTGTACATATGACTATGTGTAGCCTGGTTAAGGCTTATCTGATTTCAGTTTGTGTGTGTGACTAAGCTAAACTACTCCAAACAATGAAAAGATTTCATACAGCAAGGGCTGTGGTCTAATTTCACTATTTATTTTTCTGGTTCAACCCTTAACAATCCTGGACCATTAAATTCAAGCTTTAGAAAAATTAATACTTGTAATAATTCTAAGTATTAGAGATAATATGAATATTTTCCTATCTTTTGATGAATAAATATGTAGTAAAAAAAACTTCTTGAAGGCTGTAATGCTGAATATTTCAAGTTGCATGTTTTTTTTATTATTACACATGCTAAAAACCCCTATTCCATACATTGGATGGTAGAGAGAGGCAGTAGTGGTAAGGTAATCTATTCAAACTAAAAGTGAAAGAAAAAAATCCTACAAATAGTTTGAGTTTTTCCTTTGATCATCACTGTGGCAGTTCTCCACCCCTGCAGCACATCACCTCTTCAGGTAAGCTCAGCAAATAAAATATCTGCTCTACAGCTGCTGTGGCTCATAAATTCAGGTTAATTGTTTAAACTGCTCCATGTTTTAATAATATGTTGGGGCTTGCGTTGGTAATTGCTACAAACAAGTTATTTTCTATTCTTATGAATAAAAATAAATGACAGCATAGCTTCAAAATAGTTGTGATAAAAAAAATGCAAATCAAATAGAAAAATAGAGGGTGCAGTGAAAACTCTTCATTCTTTCTCTCATAGCAGATTTTTTCCAGTCATGGGGAATCGCTCTTCATCACCTGGTAAGTATTACAAACTTGTTCCATTGAGACGCTGGTAATAGATACTTTTGACTTACTTTCAGCTTTTAAATGAATTTACAGCTAAACAATGAATCAACTTTATAGGATCTACCTAATGCTAGGTCTGACACTAAGAACCTGACGAGTATTTTGTTAAATACAAAGTCTTGTGATGTCAGCTAAGAATGTGTAAAGATATATATGTGCTCGTTTTGTAAAAACGTCATTCATGATTAAAGTCAATGGGACGATATTAAGTTTCTTGCTGTGTCATGCCTCTTCTGTGACTTGACCATCTCATTTCATTTTGTTCATAATAAATGTTAAGCAATATCATGAAGTGTTTATATTTTACAAGTCCTAACAATGAGTTACATAATTAAGCAGGTAACAGTTGAAAGATTAAGTTTTACTTATCATTTGAGTCACATTTGCATCATTTCTGCAGCAGCTTTGCACATGAAGAGGAAATTTATTTTCTTATTGAACGTTTTCCAGAAGTCTTGAGATTTCAGCCTAAAAAAAAATGAAGCCTAAAAATAGATTGTAGTAATTGAAGCATGATTTGAATTGGAGCTGAAAATGTAAGATTTTTGTGATTTATTCTGTTTTGTCATTTAGAACCTCAACATGGCTCCTGTGAGTACTTTCTTTTCACTCTCACACAATAATGCACTCATCTTTCCACTGACAGGTTCAACCTGTTTCAAATACTGCTTTAATATACTGCAATTCATATATTTAACAACCCCAATTATAAATATAACATAAAAACATACAAATATTTGTATCACTTTTTAAGTGACAGATTTTGGCCTAAATAAACTTAATCTGCTTTGCTGTGTTTAGCTCCTCCACCGGCTCCACGTAAGTAGAACTTAGTTATTAAGGCTTTTTATGTTTTTTGGTCTCAATAATGTATTATTTTAAATTAACTATTTGATTGCTTGACTATCTGTATCTACGTATTTAATGACATATAATATAAATAACAAATTCTGCTTACTATTGCAAGACATATTTTAGATTTTGATCTAATTTCCCCATCACAGTTTTAACAACTCCATGGAGAGAAATAACATGGGGGTGAGTGAATGTATTTTTGTACACCAGCCTGTTGCCATTGTGTCTATTACTCTTCCACAGTCTCTTTTTTCACTTCTTACCAGTGGAGCAATTTATACAGACTTCTACATACCCCTTATTAATGTCTCAGAAAGACTGGACTTTACCCAAAAACAAAATCTCACTATGATGAATGAAACCATAAACACACAGCCCAGTTATCATCCCCAAAATTACATACTCAGCATTCCAATACACCTTTTTTTCTACAACAATTCTAGCAACCAAAAACAACCATCCTTCATAACTCTATTTGAATCAAAACCACCACCTGATAAAATACACCTCCTCAGCCTAGATCCTAATAAACAGGCCTGAAGGGCCACCCAAAGCATTCAAATGGAACCAGGAAAAGCCAATATTCACCACAGGGGAGGAGAACACCCTGAAGGAACTTCAGTCATCAAAACAGCAGACATGGTAGCTACACAGCCTGACATATGAGATCAAGAGATCCATCTATTTTCTTACACCTTTATTCCTCTGGGTTTGCGATGTGTGCTGGTGTCTATCTACAGCTTTCAACGGGCAAGAGGTGGGGTACACCCTGGACAAACCACCAGTCCATTGCAGGGCAACACAGAGACAGACAGGACAAACAACCATGCACACACACACACACACACCCACACACACACACACACACACACACACATACACTCATAAGGAGAATTAATACAGACCAATTAACATGACAGTGATGCTTTTGGAAGGTGGGAGGAAGCCGGAGTACCCGGAGAAAACCCACCACACATGGGAGATCACGAGGAAATTGAACCCAGGACAACTTTTTCACTCATATCCATTTTGTGCCCCTCATCATTTTTCATCTGGTTCAAAAAGACTTGGGGCATCGGGTGTGCTGTGGTGGCGCAGGGGTTAAGCACAACCCACATACAGAGGCTTTAGTTCTCGACGCAGCTGTCGCAGGTTTGATTCCTGGCTTTGGTGACCTTTTGCTGCATGTCTTCCCCTTTCTCTCATTACCCACTTTCCTGTCCAATAATTATCAAATAAAGGCCACTAGAGCAAAAAATAAAGACTTGGGGCCTGACCTTTAAAAAGTTGAAGTTTCAGGTGTACATTTGATTGCACATGCAATCCTGATCCACAAGGATTGTATCAGCAAGATGACCAACATAGCAGGTGTAATCCATTTTACTTGTCTTTTTGGATTTGCAGAGTTTATGCTGGCCACCAGAAAGTACAAAATACTGGGAGGAGTTCATGCAAATGTAATAACGCATCATCCACAATGCCACCTGAATCCGATTGTAGGTGGTTTTTTAGCACATTTGAAAAGCAGGTGCAAATTGTCATTCAAAAAATGTCGTTCAAGGTGACTGACCTTAATGTTGGCTGATAAAGAAAAAATACCTCATCAAATGTCTAATCTAATGCTATGAGCCTCACTGCCTCCACCATTATGACTGTTGGAGGTTGGCTCTAGTTACACTTCCCTGTGTAATGTCAATTCATAACTAGCAGTTGAATGTAAGCAGTTGGATATCTGCTTAAATAACTAATGGCTTAAAGCATTTTCTAGACTATACTGATAGCCTACTATAAGGAAATTTGTCTATGTGACTAAAATATATATTTGTCAGCAGGAAATTTCTGAGACACTTTGATGTGTTCAGGGGTCATAATCTTTTACATTTTATAATGTTGCCCATGAAAATAGAGTGTTCTATTGTATGTTCATAAAAATGAAATACAAATTATACATGAGATTGTATAATTTGTAAAGAAAAATATTTAATTTTATTAAACAGAAACCAATTTCCTGAGGAGCTCCCTAAGGGAGATGGGGAAATAATTTTCTTTTGTGTTACCTTGAAGAGTATTCCATTCCCTTGCAATAAATTATTAAATATACCCTGGTCTATTTTGTATACAGTCACACATGTCAATTTAAAATTGCACATATACGAACATTTCAAGAGCCTCAGTGAAAATGTCTTCATATATTCTTAACTCTTTGGTGAAAATATGACAGGGCTCCATGAGCAAAAAGGCTAGATTGTTTATGCGTATGCAATAGAAGAAACTTTGGACATGTGTTATATAATATAGACAAATTTTCAGTTCATTTGGACCCTGGTGTGAATGCAGGTTTTAACATTTTTAGTTTTAGTTCCTTTTATATATACTTTAAATTCAATGTGAATACCTTCCACTATTGTGTTTTTAATCTATAAAATATATCACTTAAGTTGTAATCTTTATTTTCGCATCTTAACAGAAACAAAGAGGAACTTCTGCAGTACATAAAGAATTTTGAACCTCAAAATAAAGAAGTGGAAGCCATCAGAGTTTTACTCTATGGACCAGTCGGTGCAGGAAAGTCCAGCTTCATCAATTCCGTCAACAATGTCCTGCAAGGGAGGATGACCCAGGAAGCTCTGGCCAACAACACAACCAATGATAATAGTTTCACAAAAGAGGTCAGTACAACTTCTTGTTTGACATTAAAGGCTTACTCTTATTTTTAAGATTTATGACTTTTTACTCATAACATAAACTTAAAAAAATAACATGGGATTAATATATTTTATTTAAGAAAAGAGGGACAGATCTTTAAACATATTTGACTGTCAGAACAACAGTCTGCTGTCTATGAAGAACCGCATCCATGAGGTTAAGCTTTGTACTGTATGAACCAGGGAAACAGTACAAGTTGTGGTAACCCCAGTTTGACTCTGGTTGGCGTCACTTTGATTCCTTGCCATGTCTTCCTCCCATTCTTGCATATAATGAAGCCACTTCTTGACAGTTTTGCTGCAGTCTTTGTCAGTTTGGGTTAAACTGCTGAAAAACATAAATAAGAGTGTGGAAGGCGCTGATTAGAATGATGATAAACATTTGACAAGTGAAAGACATTGAAATATTAAATAGAGAACTGGTTATAGATCTGAGAACAAATAAAAACCATACAGTCCCCCTGTACACTCACCGTTAAATTAATAAGGACATGCTAACAAATATTCATTAATATTTATTATAATGTTAGTTGACATATACAATTACCTATCAAATTGCAGCATGGTGTAGCATTTATAATACTGCACTCGTTAAAATGAGATTATCAAAATTTAAAATAAAGGGCTGCTTATCAGAAAACCTAAAGATAAAACTTGAGGATCAGAGTTATTTTTAGCATAGAGACAGAAAATGGTCTCTATGCCATAAAGGTACAACTTGACTTCCTTATGTCTTCTATAAAACCAAACTGTTTGGTTTTATTATAAAGAATTTTTGTAAATAATTATAATAGATCAATGATTCTTGAGAATAGGGACAAAATGGGTTTTAATTTTCCCATATTTTTTTTTTTATTATTTCTCAACCTTATGT